AAGAGATGGTCATGATAACACAGCCAAATTCGTCAATATAATCCATAGGTTCAACTCTTCTCATATTCTAATGCTATTACTCTTGGTGGATGCTGGAAAGGCATTTAATAGAGTGGATTGGTCCTATTGATTCTGTGTTTTGAGTTATTGAGTATTGGGGCAAGTTGGAAATCTTTGGTGGAGGCCCTCTATTCTGCTCTTTCTTCCAATGTACAGGTAGATGGTCAACACTCTTCAACCTTTGCCGTAGGTTGTCCCCTTTCCCTCTCTCTTCTTATGCTAGTAATGGAGTCGAACAAATCTAAAGATGACCTTACAGACTAAGTGTGCATAGCACCCTACTGTTTCAAGCATCTACAAGGTTAGTCTCCTCCTGTTAAATGAATTTTCCTCTGTTTTAAGAAAATGGAATCTACCACAGTTTTCTTTGGTGAGTAGAATTAATTATTTGGAGATAATGTTGCTTCCTAAATTGCTACATCTTTTACAAACCCTCCCCAAACATTTTTCTGTCAGTTTGTATCTTCTATAGATTAGACATGCTTTTTTTTCATTGTGGCCATCTAATCAACCCAGAATAGACTATCATACATTAACCACTCTATAGGAGCCTGGTTGTTTAGATCTCCCATTTATGTACCATTACTGTTTGGCTGTTTTTTTAAGAGTTTTGAATAATGACAAAATACTTGTTGTGACTGATTTCTGTAGAAAGATCTTCCCTTTTCCTTAGAATGACATGTGTCCACTTTATCTGACTTTCCATTATACCAAATTTGATGGCATGACCGCTTACTTCTTTCAAGGAGCTAATTCTTCCTTCTATAGGGTTGCTGAGACCTCTGTCAAAAATGTGTTTCTTGATACAGAAGGTTTTTCTTACAACCTTTCTACCATACACCGGGGCATGGTCAATTGCATTTAACCTGTTTTATCTCTCCTCAGGACTGGATATCTATTTTAGGACTGCATACAGCATTACTGTTAGTGTTCATAGATGGAAATCATTATATAAGCTTTGGGTCTAAAACGTAAATATATTAAATGTGGACACTATAGTTGAAATACTTTGATTCCCCTATTTTTCTAATAGTTTGTCCATGTAACTTTGTTTATTTTCATGATATGACTCGAGGCCCAGCACTCATCCTTCCTTGTACCATCTCCACTAGATGGATATTGATGGTTATATATTACACTTTTAGTTTTTTGTTTTTTTTTTAGCATTTTTTTGAGCAGACAACCCACATTTTAGTGTGGGTTGTAAGCTACCTTTTTTCTTTCTTTTTTTTACCTTCTAAATTTGTCCCTTTGGCTATTGGCCATTTCCTTATGGTCATTTTTTTTTCTAATATGATTGAGGGACTGCAAATTCCTTTCTCGTTGTCATCATGATTTACTTTTAAATCTCAATTTGTGTTTACAGTGGCAGCTAACTGTTATCCAGGGCTGTTAGCATTGGATTTGAAATACTAAGGCTTGTATTTATAAATGTGTGAGTTTGTGTGGCACAAATAAGATAAAACCATGTTTGAGATGTTCTTAACCTTAATGGGAAGTATCAGCACAGCAATCTATTACTTGTTTGCCCTGGCTAAGTGATTGCCTCCTACACTTCATTTTTTTGTGAAAGAAAATATAATATAATCTATCTATCTATCTATCTATCTATCTATCATGTAGGGGTGTAGATAAAAAATACCCCTTTCTGTCTCATTAGAGATATTTTTGCCAAAAGCTCAAGGAAGCAAGGTGTTAGGAGTTAGGACCCACCTAAGAGGTCTGCCTTGACGTGGCATGTGGGCATACCCTCTCATGGCCATTGGAGGTAACTAGAAACCTCAATTTGTTTAAAAATACATAGTGATTTGGAAAGAGTGCAGGTAACTTTTTTCTTTGGTTTTTACTATATGTATTTTGACTGATGTGTACTATGGTCATTGCTGCCGCCCAGGAGTAATGGGAGTTTGAGCGCAGGACTTGTTTCTTTTCTATCTATCTATCTATCCATGAATAGCTCTATTAAGAAAACAAATCCTACAAAAAAGCATAGCAACTTTTTTGGCAAAAAATATTAAAATTACAAGTTCTAATATTCCAATAGAAGCTACAGTTCCTTAACTTTCAATAACAAGCTAAATTTTGCAAATCAGCCTAAAATTGTATCCACCCTCAGCTATGTATCAAGAGCTAGAATATTCAGTTGCTGAGTTGCTAAGCAACAAAACATTTCATATATTCATGTTGAATTAATGAAGCAGGTGCTCTTTTCAGGGCAACAGCTTTATCTGACACATAAACTGTGATTTCTACACTCATTCAGGGATTTATATATAAGAATGCAATCCTGTACCATGTAATGTGCATTATGTGGCAAGAATCAAACAATGGATGTGTTGACAAATAAATAGTTTGAAAATATTGTTCTCAAATGTATTTTTGTAGATCTATTCTATACAATACTGATTGGGAACACAATACACATTTAAAAATATTTCTCAAAAGAAAAAAACACATTTTGCCTGAATGTTTTCAATTTAACATTTAGTGTGTATGGTGCAGAATATGTTAATGTAACAAATATATAGCATGATCGACTTGATCATAATTTTGTTTCATTTTTTTTTTTTTTATCATTCCATTTTGATCGTGTTTCTGTAATTCCTGAATTAGGTAACCTAATTTGCAAATGTGCAAATGGCCATAATTCTGATCTTTTCTCACCTAATTAAATGTCCATAATTCTGATCTTTTCTCACCTAATTAAATGTCCATAATTCTGATCTTGTCTCAGCTAATTATTTAAAAGACACCAGATTGCTCAAAATGTTAATTCAGACTGGGTTAAATGTCACATCTGAATATCATAAATACTTAAATTGCATAATTTGGGTAAAATCATCAATATTTGCTGTTTGCAAGTCCAGTGCCATTAACAGTAGTCAAACTCTTGTCTCAAATCTTATTGAACAAATATATTTTACTTTCATAGACCGCTCCTGCTGTCAAAGCACTGATGCTTACGATGTTTACATTGTTTTCTAAACTCTCCTTCCCTGTTTATAAAGTTAGGGGGGAAATGATAAGTTTTCAGTTCATGGTATTTGCACATTAACATATGCAAATATTTTTGATGTATTAAAGATGACACTGAATCTATGACTGTGAAAGAAGGATGGGTTATAATGAATACATCAAGAGCCAACATGTTCTTTGTTGAATGTTTATTGGAGATATTGAAAGATGGGTTTATGATGCTAATGTATTGAGCCATTTCACAGAGCCAAGACAGTGCTTTAGATGCAGGGGATATGCCTCCCTGTATAAAGCTTTGCATTAATAATTTGTGTTGTTTGAATGTGATAAGCTCCAGCATTGCATTTCTTATGTGTTTTTCTACTTTTTTTGAATTAATCTAAATTTGATTTAAGTCGAATATTTTTCTTTGTGAAAACAGATTTGCTTACTATGAGGTTTTTTATTTTTTTTTATTTTTTTGATCCATGATTCGCCTTATATCAGCTGAACTTTTTTTTTCAATTAGAAATTCAATCTCTTGAAGCAAATGCTTCAAGCTAAACTGACTTTCGCCAACTTTAAATAAAGTGAGTAACTCTTTTGTAATGGAATGAGCATATTTATGTAGGTCATATATAATTGTTTGGAAGCTTCTGACTAATGATATATTTTGGCAGATTTAAAAAAAAAACTATTTGAAACATTATTTTATTACTAGAATATTCCACAATTATTTAAACTGGAAATGTAATGCAAATTACCTTATAATCCTTAGAGGCTCCCTTATTTATTAACAACCCTTTAAAAGAAAAACTCCAAGCACGATAATCACTACAACACACTGCAGTGGTTATTATGCTATGAGTGACCTGGTACCTCCCCCCCACTGTAAGTGGTCAAACTTTTTAGAATGGCTTGACAATCTAACCAGGAGTTTGCCATGTGTGGATTCTTGCCTTTACTACTTCAGACAGAGAGCCAGAAGATCTCTGTCTGAGCTCAGCCCTGGACTGCTGGCCGTAGATGCTCTCCGCCAACTAACCCTGCCCTGTAGGGTTCACACAGGAGAGCTTCCAACCCTATATCGGAAGTAGTGGAGGTGGGGAGTAACACCCACCAAATCTCTGATAAAAAGTCAAACCATTCTAAAGTAGTTTGACTACATGCTAGACTATTTTCAGTATGAACTATAATTCATCCAAATTTGTGTGATCAGTCAAATTCCCAAACTCCAATACAGAATTTATCTGATTCACGAACCAAATGAGCCATGCAATGGCCAACATGTTCATTTTGATTTGTGATTCTGAATTCCAAACTAAAAAGTAGGAAGTATCTGACCACATTGTGAGAAAGAACGATCCTGCCAAAGGTAGCAAAGTGTTTTGCCTAAAAATCTGCTTTAAAAATAGTGTTTCTTTTACTATACAATAATTACTCTCATTACCATCCCAGATGCAAGTCATTAGCACATATAAACAAAGCACTCTTTATTGCTAACTTGTTATGTTTGTATTGAGAATATTTAGAACCCAGCAAAACAATTAGCTTATATTTTGTTAAATAATGGATTTTTTTTTCATATCTATTTATAACTTTAAAAGTAATGTAGTTCACTTCAGATCTGTAAGTCTCAATGTATCAGGTAGCAAGTTTATTGCTTATTTCTGGAGGAAGTTTTATGATGACTTGGGCATCCAACTTTCTCACTCTTCTGTCTTCTCCTTCCATTCTTGGTGAATTTTGGGTTAATCCCTTAATCTCTTATCCTTTTACAGCCCTGTTGTTCCTGTGTACTAGACCCAGCTATGTCCCTGTCCATGACTTATACTGTCCAGTGTTCGTGTTTACAAGACCCCAGCTTTGTTCATTGCTTTGTCTGTGTTTTGTTTCACAGAATATATTATATAATTGTTTTAGTCTTGTCTGTATTAAGATACTTTAGCACTGATCGTTCCTATTTCTATCTAAGCATTGGGCCCAGAGATTCCAAGGTCTGTGCCTTTGGTCATGTTGTATTTTGCTGGTGAGTATCTGTATCCTGATGAGATTCACTTTAATCTGAAGAAAAAAAAATTAAATGTAAATTTGTCCAAACTTGGACATTGGCAACAGTGGCAGAAAAGGCAAAGAAAATGCGAAAACAGTTTGGATGCTGATCACTCGTGCAAAAATAATCAAATACAATTCTAAAAACTCTCATCCTGTCACCACAGGTGGGTTCTCCATCCACTGATGACAAAGAACAACTGCAGAGATAGGTCCTGAGCAAAGGACAGATATCTAACTGTATTTATGTACAGACCAATTCCAAGGAAGATGAAGAACTCCGCCATTCTATCCATACAAACAAAAGGGATTAAAATTCCAAAGAAACAATTTAAAGGATCACTGCCATTAAACTACTATTATACCTTTACACCATATTTCATTTTATGATCTAATTACATAAATGTTCCAGTTACATCTTTGATAAACTACTTGACAGAAAGGACTAAATATGTGGATAACATTCCATCTTAGAAGCACTGCATCTGCATTATTAAAAACATGTGAACTACTTTACTATATGTACTTAATATATTTACTTCATATTAACTTATTATAAATTATATTATATCTCCTTTCAATTCTATGAATGTATTGTTTTATGCTCTTGCTTTTGTTCTAAGACCGTATGGATTAATTTTTTTCCCCGATTACTATCACAGAAACCAGAATGATTTTTTTATCATACATATACTGTTAGAACAACCTGAAGTTGTCATTGTTGCTAATTTCAAATAAATATTTGATTACTATTACAATTTATTATCGTATTGTACTGGATTCCAGTCTTTGGACAAATGGTAATTAATACTCGCCTAAATACACTCATAGGAGATAAGAACATTGGTATTGTTATAAAAGATTGCACCTGGAAGAAAGGAGGTTAATGTATATTTTTTTTATATTGTTTTTATTGAGATTTTCATACATATTAAGAAACAATACATTGCGTCAAGTGAGCATAAAGGCTTCGAGTACATTGTTCTTACAGTAAAATATAAAATGAGGATGCTGTAGTCATATGCTATGAGTATGGAGCACAATGAGTTGTTGCATTCCTTCACTTCAGGTACTTATGTTAGTAGTGTAAGGGATGATACACCGCTTAGGTTGCATTGACCGTCTCACTTCTTGGACGCATCGTCGGCCAGCGTATGCATGTGCCCCATCCCAGGATATAGAGAAGCCATTTTTTTAAAACCATATTTAACTAATAAAGAAAGAAATAGTATATAGGAAATAAACTTGGATTCTCAACAAATCCAATAAACTAAATGCTCTGCATGGTTCGTGATCCTCGCATTAGCGTCAGACACATTGTAGATCTAGCTGTCAGTGGGGGACTCCAATCATCTACTAAGGCAGAAAGTGTTATCCTATTACCTGTCATTATGTGGCGATTCTAGCATCTGTCCAACTGGTCCACATTTGTGTATCTTTGCTTAGTGTGCCTAGTACTTTGTGCGCCATTAGTTCTCTACTTTGTGTAAAATATCTTGTAAGGATGGCAAGGTTGTACTCTTCCAATGTGATGCAATGCTAGACTTGGAAGTGGATAGTAGCCGCTTGGGATAGAGGAGGGCAGTATCGATGCCCACAGCAAGTGTTCTAACCTTTGCTATTGGAGATATGCATTTTCAAATGTAAGCTATATAGGTTGTGTATTCTTTGACATAATGTGCATGCCCAGTGATAATACTGATCCCCTGTAGTATGTGTGAATATGGGGGATGCTCAGTCCTCCTTTTATATGCGATAACCACATAAGGCGGTATCGAACCCATGGCGTTTTTTTTTTTCCTCCAGATATGTGCATTCACTATAGATTTAAATTTTTTTACTAAAGAGTTTGGTAGAGCTATGGGCAGTGTTTGAAATAGATATAATATGTGTGAAAGCACCATCATCTTAATCGAGTTCACCCATCCCAGCCATGACACCTCTAACTCTTCCCATTTGTAACTGTAGTTTATGTATTAGTGGGTAATAGTTTTCTTGTGTAAGAAGATTAGTAACTTTTGTAAATTTAATACCTGAATAAGAGAGAGATTGTTTTGCGCCAATCCTATCAGTAAGAGAGCTCCAAAGTCAACTTGTTCTCACGGGAGATTCCTATAGGTAATGCCTGAGTTTTAGACACATTATTTTTATAAAAAGAGACTTCTCCGTATCTCACCAAAAGATCATGAGGTACTGAGGTAATTGGTTGTGTAAGAAAGAGTAAAACATCATCAGCGAAGAGAGACAGTTTCTGTTCTGCTGCTGGGGTAGATAATCCTCTAATGTTTGGGGAATTTTAAATTTGCCTCACTAATGGTTCTAGACATAGTATAAAGATTATAGGGGAAAGTGGGCAGTCTTGGCCAGTGCCATTCTTGATAGGAAATGCTGAGGAAGTAAATCCATAATTAAAGATGTGTGCTGTTGGGGAGATGTACAGGGCTTGGATGCTACAACCAAAGCTGAAGAGAAGCCCAGTCTGGATAAAGTCGAAGCTATGTAGGACCAATTTAGGCGATCAAATGCTTTTTCAGCGTCAAGCGCAAGTACTATCCCCTTTTGATCACTATGTTTTGCCCATTCTATGAGGTCAATGAAGTAGCATGTATTGTCGCCCACCTGCTTACCCGGCACAAGGCCAGCCTGTTCCAGGGTGAAGTAGCATCAGTTTGATATAAGTGGCCAACAGTTTTGCATACATCTTGATGTCCGCATTTAATAGTGATATTGGTCTCCGGTTTGAGCAGAGATGTGGGTGTTTGTTCGGTTTGGAGAGGGTGACTATGTTAGCCTCTAACATTTCCTGCGGGAACGTTCCTGAGGATTTAATGTGGTCAAATAGTGTTGTAAGGTATGGTAGTAAAACATTTTGTAGTTTAATGTAGTACTAATTTGTAAGCCCATCAGGACCAGGTGGCTTGTGCTAAGGAAGGGATCTGATAACCTCACAAACTTCATCTTCTGTGAAGGGGCTGCCCAGTATATCTGTGAAGGGGCTGCACAGTATATTTCTCTGGTCATCAGTCAGTTGCAGCAGTGGGGTTTGGTCAAGGAAGGAGTCTATATCACTTTGGGAGGGCTGGCATAATGTCGTGTCTAGGCTCAAATTGTAAAGTGGGGTGTAATATTTGCTCAATTCCTCAACAATGTCTTGATGGTTCTATATTCTGTCTCTATTCTGACCAGTCAAGTAAGGGATTTTAGTCTTATTGTTTTTATGCTTTAGCTTACGTGCTAGAAGCTTGCCTGCCTTGTTCCCGAGGTGGTAATAAGTTTGTTTCAGGGATCTCATATGTCTTTCTGTGACATGTAGCTCAAGTGTGTGGAGTTTTTGTTGTGTTTGTTTGATTTTGTTAGAGAGGCATTTAGATGGTTCTGTTTATTTTGAGTTTCTAGGACCTCAATTTCTGCAAGCAGGTTTGATTTGTTTTCAACACACTTGCGTTTAATAAGGGATCCTATTTAGATGACCCCGTAGTGTTGCTTTGTGTGCTAACCATTGTATGCAGAGAGGGGGGGATGGGGCCATTGTCCCCACCGATGCACTGAGTACATTGAGTATTGTTGCCTTATCAGCCAAATATGAATAACATTAACCACACAAAGTATATACATAGCACCCTTACGAGCAAGGGAACAACTTTGGGCCAGTGGGAGGACCGGCGTTGCCAATACCCGCATTCACCCATCTGGCTGAGGTGCATGAGAGGAGGAGGGTCTGACTGACTCATACAATACTGGGATTGTAAAGTATGTTAGCCTTACGTAATTCTAACAGGGTAGGTGTCACCACAATCCAATCACTTCTATGCGTTATGCTAGAAACTCGAGACTGATAGAGCCATTAACATGTATATCAATATGTAAAATAATCCAACAAAAGAAATAATGTGATCAGTCCTATTATGTATTTATTTGTTTATTTATTTTGTGGGGGGGAGGGATTCTATTGTTTAGTTTGTTTGTTTTTTTGTTTTTTTTAAATCAATTTTCATTTGTCCGATTTGTTACCAACTGTTAGCGTCTAGACTTTAGCAACTGTATTTTGGTCCACTTCCCCTAGTTTAGTAGGTGACCTGGACCTACTAAATGCAGTAGCAAATGTTAGCACAGCTATGCGATATTAACTGCCTGGCTTAACTCAGATGTGGGTATTGACCAAGTAATTGCGCGTCCACTCAGTGGGTGTACACTGATGGGGGCTATTTGAATATCCTTGATGGAGGCTATTTAAATACCCATATTATTGATCTGACCAGATATAGACTCCTGTATTTGCATATAGGGTCCTTATCTACATGCAGGTAAACCTCGCTAGGACCTAGAAACTTAGCCTGAGGACTTTCACGCAGGGCAGTTGCTCATGGTAACATGCAGAATGAGCATCTATCATCATTGAATCAGTTAATTAAAAACATAAGACAATAAACCAGTTCTGTGAGGAACAGAAACCACCACGTTTAATATCCTTTTCCTTTCTGTTCCTCACAGAACTGGTTTATTGTCTTATGTTTTTAATTAACTGGTCGTCTTCATTTAGCTAGTTGAGGACGGCCTTTTCTTAGTAGGAGATCTAGCCATCTGCCACTCTCCTGACACCTTAGTGGGGAATATGTGGGAATGGTTCAAAGTGTACATTGATTGCAGAAAGCCCCAATCTGCCAGCAATTTTGTGCCAAGACTCTTTTGTGCCATCGTCCGGTTCAGAAATAACATGTACAACAAGAGGGAGAGTCAGCGCTAAGTAACAGGATGGGGGCAGCAACCCAAAAAGGGAGTCCCTCTAAGACTCTTTGAGATACAGGATGTAAAAACAGAGAGAAGGTGAGGGTTGCGCCCAAAGTCTAGTAACAGTAAATATACAATTAGAAAACTGACCTAATGGTCTAAATGATACAATAATAAAAAGAGGCTATGTAAGTAAAAAATGAAATAAAATCTCACTAAAATAGTGGTGCAATCTTTAAGGGTTGATCTGTCTGGATGGTAAAATACATCTAAAAAGTCTCAATAATATAACAGGATAAATATGGGGTGCAATCCTCAGGAGTTGATCTGTCCGGATGATAAAATATCTGTATATGTGGAGAGACAAGGGGAGATACGACAGACAGCCGATAATGTTCCAGAGGTAAAATGGATAAAATAAAGCTAGTAGACACACATTTAAAAGAGCTTCAGCCAGCTCTGGGATGGATGGCATCTACCGGTACAACCCCGCTATGGGATACAATGGAGAGGTGTTTCCGTCTGTCCGGTTTAGGTATCCAGGCTTCCAGGGTGTATAAAAACAACAATAGTGTTCTCAATTTTGAAAGGAGTGTAGTAAATAAAATATATAAAATAAACTGACAAGTAAAGAGGAGAATGTACTGCTCTATTATAGTAGCGTTGGTGGAATAATCCCCACCTAGGATTTCTTTAAGTCCAGGATCAGTAAAAATGCCAGCAATAAAATGTGCATATAAAATACAATAAAAAGTAAATTGGTACAATAAAAAGTAACCAAAAAAACTTTTATTGTTAAAATACACAAATAAAAAACATTTAATGTGTTTCGCCACACAGGGCTTTATCAAAAATGGAATAGAACATATTAGCTGGCAATATGGGTTTAAATAGGAGTACAGATAATTAAAATTGGCGCCAAAATAATGGTCAGCCAATCAGAAAGCAGAAAATAAAAAACTGTATTTACCACTTTAAAACATATTGTAGTTAGTATTTATAGAATATCTAATGGGGTATGAGCTTATTCATGCAAATAGATATTAAAAATGAGGGATAGGGAGCCTGATATGCACTGTAAAGTTTAATCACGTGGTTTCCGTGATATATATGCCGCAAGGGCTATTGGGGCTTGTAGTAAAGTGGGCGAGAATGTAAGCCGACAGCTCACAATGAAGACGTGTGTAAGCGTCATACCAGGGGCATTGTTGGAAATGTAGTAAGTGTGTCTGCTTGCACAGAGCTGCAGCTGACACTAAGGAGGGAGTGATACAACATAAGATTTGACGGCAGGCACGAAGCTGCAGCCGACATGGGGAATAAAGGGGGAGTAGTTAAAACATAGAGTAGGTGATATGGGAAATGTAGTGAAATAGAATGGGGGGGAGGGGTTAAGGCAAAGCTTTAAAGCATAGAATTGGAGACATATTGGTATTCTTTGCTTTAAAGCTTTGAGCTGTACTCATTGTGTATCGTCCAGTTACTAGGTAGGGAAATTCACAATACAGCGCCTTGTTCCAGAGTTCCAGTTACCACGCATCCAGCGGAAAAAAGTCCTTGTCAGGACTAGAGCTTTGCTACATATTACTCTCAGAATCACATCAATTACAAGTTCCTCCTGTGTATTGTGTTAGCATGATTGCTAGCAAAATGTATATATTTAATAAAAGGTATTTCTCTCAACTGTTTCTTTTTGCCTCTGTTTATTGCCTTACTCGCTTAATCTATCTTACACCTCTCTTGTTTCTCTTAAACCCCCTTTTGTGTATCTCTTATTTCCTCACAGCTCCTTTGTGTGTCTCTTTTTATGCTTCTCCAGCCCCTCTGTGTGTCTTTTTCCCCAAGCTCCCTTTGTGTGTATCTTAGCCCCAGCCCCTTTGTCTCTTTCTTCCCTTCCCCAGTCGCTATGTGTGTCGTTCTTCTACCCCAGCACCTCTGTGTGTCTCTATCCCCACAACCTCCATGTGTGTCTCATTCTCCCCTTCCCCAGCCCCCTGTGTGTCTCTTGTTTCCTTTACAAGCCCCTCTGTGTGTCTCACTCTCCACCTGCCCCTCCATGTGTCTCCTCCTCCACCCATCACCTCCATGTGTCTCTTTCCCTAGTTCCTCCATACGTTTGTGTGAGTGTGTGTCTGGGAGAATATGTTTCTGAGGTAGTTGCTTGTATTTGGGAGGTGACTGTGTATTACAAAGGATGATGGGGTTAGTGTGACAGAGTGCAGGATGAGTTTGGCAGAGAGGGGGGTGGTGAGTGTGACAGGGTTACGCATGTTACAGGGTAATGATACAGGGTTCAGTGAGGAGAGTGATTGTGATAGGGTGAGTGTGACAATGTTGGGGGGGTGAGTGTGGCAAGGGTGACTGCATGAGTGTGTGTGGGAGGGTGACAGTATGTGGGAAGACTGTATTAAACACAGTCTCACAACATATCTTAGATTTTTTATTACATTGACCCATTTCCTTCTTACATCCTGCGCAGGAATGGGGCAGTAATACATACCCTGAGGGTCTGGTAGATTCAGTCCAGCACTCAGTGAGGATGTACAAGCACCCTAACTGCTAGGGACCAGAATTATACTAAGGACCAAACAATGAGGCATTTTCAAAGAGCTTCCAGGAAAGCGCTTTTGATCTTCTTGCCGACTCTGGAGGACCCTGCTCGGTGCTTGAAGCAAATTTTTCCACCATGCAAGTCTACTGATTCAATTGATTGCAATGAAGAAAAAAATATTTCAATTCATTGACTGGTATTCCATTTTGAGTCTAAAATACTGTGATGTGTTACATCTATCTTTCTCTATTCTCTATAGTTGGGTTCTTACTTCATATCTCTATTTCTATTTTTGATGTTTTACCATGGGTGTAGTTTTTATTCTTGCTGTCTGTCTATGGTCAATAGTCAGTCATGCTGAAATCTGATTTATTTTGAAAAGATTTAAAATGTTCACGATAATGATGTTTTAGAGTAAAAGGAAAAAAACTAAACTATAGAACTCTACTATTTTTAGGCTTGAAATGTTGCTTTATTTAAAGAATGCAAGAATAATGTAAGAAAGAAGCAAGAATAAATAAATCAAAAGGGCAGATGAACACATGAGCAGATTTGACCTTGTTACCTTTAATTAAATGCCAACACGGCCATTGTAAAATTCTTAATAAACTGTTCTAAGTGCTCCTTCAAAACTTGTATAGAAAGGCATGTTTTAGACATTCCTTCTAAGATTACTGTGTGATGCATGAATCTCTTGAACTGAACACAAGTAATGTAAGAAAAATGCATTATTCAACTGTGGTAGTTTGTCTGCACTAAAACTTTTAAATCATTCTGTTTCCCATAAAACGACCAGGAGAATATAAAAAAATCTAGAAATGTAGCACCGTGTGAAATACAAAAGTATAACTAAAACTGTGAGGACACTAGGGGTTATGTTTCCCCTCTGGATGTTGACATGGAAACATTGGATACGGGACACATCCGGTGCTTTGAGGTCAACTTGAATTAAGATAAAACATAATGTTTATACGGATACTAGCACTTTCATAAATCTGATGATGACAGTGAGGAAGCCTCGGGATTTTTTATCACTTTCAGTGTTTGGAACATGTGCCAAATGATGACAAAACCTTGATTCCAAGCCACATAAATCTGAACCTACAACATTTTTATGACAAGTATTCTCAGTAAAAGACCAAAAAAGAATCCCAGTGGAAAAATATACATCATTTGTTTATCCAAATTGTTCAAAATTTCTGAACTTGCATTTTTACTGTGCTAGCTCTTGGATATGTGTGCAAAATACAGTAATGCCAATTTATGGTTACATTATATTAGTATATAGCTGTTTCTTCTCACTGGTTTGGAAAAATGCAGCCTTCTAAAAAATTTCACTGTGCATATTAAAAGATAAAAAATATAAATTGAATTCCGTTTTTAAACTATTTTATTTTAGAATGTTATTAAATGCAACTGTAGCTTTATTTTTTATTATAGAAACTATATATATATATATATATATATATATATATATAGTACTTATACTATATATACTTATATATTTTATATTCTATATCTTTGGATCTAGGTTTCCCTTAAGGAGGATTCTTGAATAGTCATTTGCCATTAGTCACCTTATTTGATTTATATATAGTTCAAGGGGATCCTCTGTTTTTTTTCATGGAGAAGCTGTCTTCATAGGAGAAGCTAATACCAGAATCAATCATTCAGGCTTTCTCAATATCTAGAGAATTTGATAAGACAACCTCTTTTGGTAGAAAGTCATACACATGTATGGTACTTAATAAACCCGCAGTGTGTTTATCAAGGCGCTTAGGTACAATAAATCAAATAGTGTTGGTCAACACGCAACTACAACTCCCAAATCCACCCCAACACCAACCAAAATAGTGGAGCGGGCGAGGTGTAATAAATCAGAGACTGGAAAATATGTTGGGGAAAAAGAGAAAAGGCTAATAGTGTAAAATTGTAAGATGCTTAGATGTGTGAGTAATGTACAATGGTCCAACTCTCATGGAAATGGGCCTCCCAAGATCGGCTCAAATCATACGGGCAGGAGTGTACTTGGTGACACAATCCCCTCTTCTTATCCACTCAAGTGACAGATGTGGGGAAGAAAATTTGTGGAGAGAACCAGTAGAAACCTGGTGTAGTATTTTCACATGAAAGTGGCAAATATATATAAAATTAAGAACTTTTTGGACCTGGCTCTAGGTGTTAACGCTCTGGGGGCACAACCCTTCTTTGCAAGCAGGAAACAAGAGTAACTAACTAATATTGTGCAAAACAATTTATTGCATAAAAACAAATATATCGGGGGGCGGAGCCAACAGCCGAACCGACCGGTCGCAAATCCAGCAAGCTCAGAGAAATAAAAGCACTTTTACGGATAAAAACAGCGACTACCACCCCCAAAAAGCTGGACATTCCGAATACCCAAACCCACGAAAGCCCCACTAGCGGCACCCAGGGATATAATAGTCAAACTTCAAAAACGTCAAGATAAAGTAGCAATACTGGTCGCCACCAGGGGAAACACACCGTATGCCTTTGAGGACATGTTCCTCACGTTCTATACGGACCTGTCACGGGGAACAATGGCATGGCGCGCAACCCTCAGGCCACTCACCACCTTACTCCGTGGACACATCGTCAAATACAAGTGGCGCCCACCCCACAAACTACAGGTGCTTCATGGAGACGCTAATTACTCAATTGCTGACCTACAAGAGGCGAGAATGCACCTAGCGACCTGGGATCTCCCACAAGATGCCTTGCAGCAACCCCACAAACCCACTAACACCCACGCATAGAACCCGGCCACCTCCGAGACATTTGTCCCAAGAAGATCCACCCAAACAGTAATGTCAATGGGCCAAACATGAAACCACATGTGGACTAGAGGATCTGCACCACCCGCTCATTGCTGTTCCTTGGAGTTTACAACATGGACACAGACAGGTTTTGTCACTACACTGTATTGCCATATCACTCTACCCAATGTAAATGCCTACTGTAGCTCCCCTGGTACCCCACGAAGGAGCCTGGTTAAATACATGATTATGTTTCTATGTTCACATGTTTGCCTGTCCCTAAATCAATAGACCATTTCAAATTGCCTACTGCGCACCCTGCGCTGTCCTTAATTGGGCGGAAGCCCCGTTTACCAATGGCAAAAGGGCTGACCATACTCTTAGGCACTATCCCTTCAAAGTATCACGACCTAGATGCTAAGAAACTACGATCAAGCCTAGAGCTCAAACTTAAGTCGCTAAACATACCTGACTTACCCACTGGTATCTAGACCAGTTCACTCTGCAACATGCATGATGTGTTTAAATGGCTCAAAATCGTCTTATTATAAAATATAAATGTGCACTATTTTCCGTGCCACTGTTAATGCTGTAATGATTAACGCATACGCTGTTGTGGCGTTACTGATATGCTCTGTAAACACCTGCACAATAAAAATACATAATTTAAAAAAAAAAAACAGATATATACATAGCAAATAAAAAAGTGAAAAACTAGCATAAATAGTAAATAAATACATCCTCATGATTATTATTACATTATAACTGAACAGCTAGTAGAAATATACCGTATTCAGTACATAAATGTCCAGATAGGAATAGTTACAAATAGCAGCAAAAGTGTAGCAAATAGTCCAATAGTCCAAAATGTAAAACTCATACAAATGTCAAGCAAAAATCCCTGCTATGGAGGCAACCAGGGAACCTGCCTGCTGATCTTTATTATCTAGTATCAGACTCAAATCCCAGTGAGAGTGTGATACATAAAATATAAGTGTATATAGTCTCATAAAACACATAAAATCAGTAATAAAATTCACTTATAAAAGGTGTAGTAGAAAAGGGAACACTCAAAAAGTCTAGCTCCTAACAGCCTGGGTGCTCCTTTGAGGTTTCTCCTTTGTGCCGGCTTTGGAGACAGCTGGGGAGTCCGAGATGTATATCGGCTGTTGGAATATTCACCGTGTTTGTGTTCCACTGTGGTTCGATGTGTGTTTCAAAGTTGTAAAGACAGATGCAACCTTATGCGTGTCGTGACTCTATGGGTCACTTCAACAGAGGTATGCATCAGTGCTGTGTGGGTGGATATTTAAGCCTCTCCATAACAGTGAACTAAGGGTTCTTCACAATAAGGGGGACCTATTGTCCCCCCCGGCCCCCACCCCTGAGCGGTGGGTGGGGGCCCTAAAAATAACAATGGGGTGGGTGGGGGCCCTAATAACAATAAGGGGGGACCTATTGTCCCCCCTGGCCCCCACCCCTGAGCAGTGGGTGGGGGCCCTAATATTAACAATAAGGGGGGCCCTATTGTCCCCCCCCCCGGCTCCCACCCCTGAGCGGTGGGTGGGGGCCCTAAAATTAACAATAAGGGGGGACCTATTGTCCCCCCGGCCCCCACCCCTGAGCGGTGGGTGGGGGCCCTAAAATTAACAATAAAGGGGTGACCTATTGTCCCCCCCGGCCCCCACCCCTGAGCGGTGGGTGGGGGCCCTAAAATTAACAATAAGGGGGGACCTATTGTCCCCCCCCCCCTGCCCCCACTAAATAAATGTTAATGATGATGGATACAATTGCATCATTAAAAGACCTTATCTCATCACTCTCAAGATAAGAAAATCAGAGGAAGACTAATTTTTTTAACTATATCTACAATCACCACACATGGGTGGGAAATAATGTATTACTCTAGACTCTCTTGGTTAAAAGAACAGCATCCAATTTTAAAATGTATTTAAAAAGCATACTGTACTTTCTGTGTATTGTGTGATTGAGACTACTGGTGTTTACTGCTGCATTTATTGGAAGAAAGATGGTACAGAGGGCTGGAGGTAAAATTGGATTTAACTTGTATTTATATGATATCCCACTAGTGCCGGTGTGGAGGCACGTTGTTTGTGAGTACCCACCTTTCAGGTGTCTGTCTGTTCATTGTTTTATGGTCAAACGTAATAAATACTACACTACAAAGTTTTATTCTGGTTGTGCTTTATATTAGATGATGATATATTTTTTTGCTTGGTGCATATAGCAATGATAAGGATGCAAAAGGAGGAAGAGCTGCACAAAACCCTTGAACTAACTAAAATATATTTTATGGACTGTTTTTATTATATATTATATTTTAAAGAAAAGTTTATTTAAACTCTATTGAATGCAATCTTGATTTAGGTATGTGAGAATCAGTGCAGCCCAGTGTAAGTCTTTTCTCTCTATAGGTGAGGTGGTTATTTAGATTTTTTATCATGTGCTATGCATTAAGCTGTTCTTCCACCTGATCTGACTTTCAGACACAATTTAACCAGAGTATCTCATGTTCTACCACTATTGAACTTGATAAATTAGCCTACTCATTGCCAGCCTACCTCAACACTTCTACTCAGATACTTCATTCATACAATGCCTTCTCATGTAGAGGCTTAGAAAACTTTGTATTGTCACATCACACATTTCATCACTGTTTCTTTCACTTCCTACTACAAATATTTATTTTAGCTAATTTTCTATATTACATTCCATCCTTTTTTGACCAATGCATAGCTCGGGGGGTTTGGTGTCTGAACATTACAGAACAATGCAGGTTTTTACTGAATATGCATATTGCAGGTTTACATAGTATTACCACTTTACAAGAGGACACAAAAAATGTATTGTACTATGTAAAATGTACTATATAAAAAACACAAAACCCATAAAGAAGGCTGCTCGGAAATTGATGTGTTTGATTTACAAGTGGATTCATTGATATGCCAGAATCCTTTAAGCACCTAAAGAACCAATTATGGAGTAATTATATTGTAACAATCCAGCCATTAAAATTAGATATAAAAAGTGAATATCTCACTATTAACAAACACTAGGCTGCAAATGCAAAATAAGTAGGAAATGCTACATAGCATGGGGTCTTCAGACTGTGATTTTTCCGGGATTAAATCAGTAAAATGCAGCAATTTTTACATAGTTTCATACTTACATAGGCTGAAAAGAGACATGAATTCTTCAAGTTCAGCCGTCTTCCTGATTTTGCTATTGATCCAAAAAAAGGCAAAAAACACAGTTTTAAGTATATGTATATGTTATATAAACATGTACTGCAGTTATATTACATCAGTTTAATTTAATGAAAGTATCTTTTTCAAATTAGATTGGAAACAAGTTCTATGCAAACATGCCTGCCAATATTATGTTAAGACAGGTTTTTGTTAAATAATGCAAGCATATGGCTACTCTGCCTGCTCAAAGCACAACACATATCTTCCAAAAATATCATGCTGGAAAATTCAATAAACAAATTTGACCTTATACACGGATCTTGTCAAAAGATGTTTGAAGTAATAAACTAACAAGGTTATTTCCTAAAGTGAGAATAGCCAGGAATTCAAACTGAATTCAATGTGAATTTCAACATTTAGGCTATAGGACCAGATTAAAAAAAAAAAATCTTCAAATCAAATCTGTTTTCAGTTGTTTGTTTTTTTGTCTTAAATATGAAATTCTCAGCAGTAACCTTGCTAATTGTTATGAATAGTACAAAAAAATATTTTTTTAAAAGTCTAATACATTAAAACATGTAATGAGTAAATAGTGTATTCCTACAATGCTTGTATAATTGTGTTTTGTAAAGCTTTACATTTGGAATTTTATAACTACTAGGCACAATTTGCAAGGTTTTATTGTATGGCAACATTCACTTCTTACTAATGCTAGCTCATTTCAGCTCTTAGTTAGCTAGTTCTTTAGTTAGTCCGTCAATAAAGCTGTACAGCCACACTGAAAATTAACCCTTAGTTCATTATAAATATGTCCCTCCCCAGAATCACTATGTCTACTGTAAACACTATATTTTGTTTATTTCTGTGGTAAAACTGCTGACACAACTGGTCAACTTACGTCTACTCAATTCTCTGCTGGCCTTCCTATACATACAAGGGTAAGGTAATTTTGTACCTGGATGAATTCCAGAATTTAGATCAAGAACAGGTGAGATGAAAAAATAACTTTTTTAGCATACATTTTGTAAGCTGCCATTTTATCCAAAGATTCTACTTACTCTGTAATACATTTCTGCATCATGTTAACTTCATTTTTCAACGGAATACTTTTTATCCATATTCATTTAGGAAAAGTATCTTCTAAACTTTGTCATATTCAAACCATTTAAAACTTGTTCAGTGTGCATGTGAAAAATGAAACTTTTCCAAACTGGAATATAATTCCACAATGGCTTATCTCTACAAATGCCAGATGTACTAGACTAGAGCATTGTTTGAATTATTCACTTCAATCTAATACAAACATCCTTTGTGTAACTTCAGGGCCTGCACTGTATCAACATGTTTTTTAACTATCAGAATTTAGTAAGTGATTGCACATAAACACTTAACCCTTTAAGTGTCAGCGCGTCACCAGTGCTGACTGACTATTATAGTATAATGTCTTCATAGTTTTCAAACACAGTTTCTTTCTATTCAGTGCTATTATTTGCACGAATTAGTAATCTATAGTAATTCATTTTGGATATTTTGTATTCTTATCCCAAAGTAATAGACAAATTGCTTATGCACACGAGTATATTTTAATATGGGCAAATATCTCACACAAAAAAATTTGAAACATTACATAAATCTCAATATATTTGCATCAAAATTAAAACATGATTAAAGCTTGTTGCAGCAAGCAAAACCTAGAACAAGCGTAGGCCACCTTCAGCACCCCAGATCTTGTGGACTACGTCTCCCATAATGCTCCAATAGCCATAACTCTAGGGAAGCATCATATGAGATGTAGTCCATAACATATGGAGTGACAAAGGTTGATTACCCCTGACCTAAAACATTTGCAGCTCCATATCTACACTACTGAATAGAGAAGCACCCTGTGACGATACGGCCCCGGTTTATCTGGCACCGAAGGTGTACCAGTTCAGGCACACTATGGGTTTCTTTTACCTAACATGCACCACTAACTTTGGTGGCATATGCACTGGCAATGCAGGATATACTGCAGAGTTGCTGCAGATATTACAGGATATTTTGTCTTACTAAAAACTGCAATCTATTCCCCTGCACCAAGAGCTTGCAGCTTGCCCAAAACAAATCTGCAATTCTGAAAATATCTAATCGCATACTTTAAATATGATAGATCTAATTCAATTAAATAAAATGTGCATTACATTTCAAACATTTAATGCTCTCAAGAGTTATTTTTGAGCGGAACTAGATCCCTCAACAGTTTTGTTTTTTTAATGTTTTACCAACTTACCTCAACAATTATGTATTGATGGATACACACTATCTGACAGTTACAGGTTAGGAAATATGAAATAAGTGCAACATGATCAAACCAAAGTAGTGATAATTTATCAATGTTTTCATAGGTTTCATAGAAGATTGAAATTTTAGAAACTTTGATTTGCAGAAAATATGGTATTACAATATAAGTAATACAGAGAACTATAAGGAGCAATGGAAGTGGTCAAGCACAAAAGCCTGGATATAGCATATGAGCAGATATTGCTGGTAGAGAGGTAAATTGCACATTTAATTGGCATATCGTAGCCTTATTTACACATAATTCAAAATTGGTTACATAATCCAATACGTCCCACAGATCGCATTATACACATACGTGCTCTCTCTCGCTCTTTCTCTCTCTCTTTCTCTCTCTCTCTCTCTCCCCCTTTTATATATACACACACACACACACGCACACATTAGTTGTGACGTGATGTGTTACCATTTTAATTTAGATTATAAAAGTTGCAGAAAGCAACTAAACTAACCTGCAATCAGGACGGAGACACATTCCTCACTGTAGCCCGATTTGACTACAGTGAGCTCATTGGCAATTGCTGTGATTGCTGTGATCTGCCAAGCAATGCTTCACTTTGATAAGTATTAGCCATATTTCATATTTTTAAAGGTAAAAGGTTTTTAAGTAAAAGGCACATTGCTGTCTGTCTCACATCTACTAGAGGACTATTTTGATATTACTATTTATATTGTATTAGATATTGCATTGTTTTTACATTGTTTGAGAAGGTGATAGGATCTTAGCACAGAAACCACTTAAGTTAAAGTGGTTTAAATGCAAAAAGTGTCACTTTAAACAATTTGTCGCTGGTCCAATTATACATATTGAAACCTGATTTAGAATTATTCTAATTTTAGGATGTCCTGAATAAATAATTCACAAACAATTATTCACATTTCATCAAAGGGAAGTTAGGGGAGGTTTGTCCTTTTCTGCACTTGTTAATTAGTGAGTACAAGTCAACAAGTCTTAACAATACTAATTTAAATTTAAAAGCTGCTTGATTTGTTCAACCTAATAATATACATTAACATCTATTATAATTAGTAAGTCATTAATGCCAGTGTATATTACAAAATCTATAACTTAATGAAGATGATGCTTTTTTTTCAATACCATTCAAGGCTCAAATATGAAAATGTTTTTTTCCTCATCTGTGTCAGAAAAATAATGTTTTGTGAGACACTGGTTAGTCTTTAAAACCTAGTTCAACTTGAAATGTCATACACACGTGAGAACTATCCTCTTCAGTTAAAAAAAATATTTAACCTCTTAAGGACAGAGCCAATTGTACACGTTCTGATCAAAACAAAATGTAAACACACCCTGTAATCAGCTCCAGAAAACTGTAAGTGCATTACTTTTTAATTAATTCTCCTGAACTTCAACGTACTACACTATATTTTGCAATTTATCCTCCTTTCTTTTACATATTTGCCTATCCTAATTTGGATTGGAGGACACCCCTAAGACACTGCTTCACTCTCCCTTTTATTCTACATATATAGCATGTTCCATTTTTCAGTTAAAAACATTGAAATTGAAAACAGATTAAGACCGGATGGTAATTAAGGAATGAGAATTATCCCCATGATGGCATACCATTTGCAAAAGTAGACAATCCAAGGTATTAGAAATGGGGTATGTCCAGTATTTTTTAGCAGCCAGTTAGTCAAAAACACTGGACAAAGTCAGTGTTCATATTTGTTTTTTTGCAATTTTCACACACATTCATATATGAAAACTACCTTTGGCCAGTATTTTTGACTAAGGGTCTAGTAGAAAAATACTAGACATACTTTTGCAAATAAAATGCCATTATGTGCTACCATATGGTCTCAAAGGTAACACAACCAAATTTCAATGTGAAAAACCTGAAATGGGCAAGCTTTAGATATGACCCTGTAACTTTTAAAACACCATAAAACCTGTACGTGTGGGTATTGTGTAGTTTATTCCCCCTCCCTGTCTCTTACTTATGGCCATGGAGGGGGAGACTAGTTTCCCTGGTGGTCCAGTGGCACATTATGCTGTGTCCTGAGAAGAGGGGTCCTGAAGTCTGATCTTCCCCTCCTACAGCTTCATGTCTTCTCCTTTTACGAAGTCGCGTGAGCATTGCCGTGGGTTGTTATGGCAACGCTCAGCGCATTACATATAGATTTTTTATTTCAATTTTATCACAAAATGTTAAATATTTAAATATGTAGGTAATAGGAGTAGGTGATGTGTAGAGTCCCACAAGGGGAAACCAACATCAGGAGAGCTCCACTGTATAAGAAATGAGGAAGGGAGGCCCTACCTTTAATTAATCTAAGGATAAAAAGGGATATGCAAACAAAAAGTATAACTTGAAAAAAGGGAGATCTACTAAACGGTGCCCAGGGGATCAATTATCTGGAGTACTAGCTAGCATCTAAGTTCCAGTTCCCCTAGTGTCCGACTGACAGGAAGGTAGTGTAAACAAGGTTAGGGAGAGAGAAGAGGCACAGGGTCCCCAGAGAACAAAGGACCGGGTAATCAGGTCTAAACGCAGATGAAAAGCCTCACGCACACACAAATAAATAAATAAATAAATCTCTCAATTCACCCTAAAACCTAACCACTAGTGTCTACCTGAACCAACTCTCCCTACTAAAGTTATAAATAAATAAATAAATAAACACCCAAATATCAATAACCACAGTGGTAACAATAATAAAAAACAATAATAAAAAAGTGCTACCAAGTGTTGTTTCATTTAAATACCTATTGCTGATGAAACATGGCAATCAGCTGTTCAATGTGGGAGTTCCTGAGGGGTGAGTCTACCAAGGGTGTGGCATGTCGTCACATATTCTACATCTCAAAAACATAGTGACGACACACAATGGCATAGCTTAGCTGGGAAAACCCCTGATCACAAAGCCTGCTAAAAAAGGCAAGGCTGCAGGTTCAAATCCCCCCATCCGTCCGAGGTCAGCAAAACAAGCTCCACCAATGGGGCAACATTAACATATACTACTGGTCAGCTCCAAGAGCTGAAGAACGTCCTGAGTCCCACTAGGAGAAAGGTGCCACATAAATACATATTATTATTCTTTTTAACCCCTGTCCTGACCTATAGAGTGGAGCCAGGTGGGGCGTAATTTGGACGTGATGGCTGAATATGTGAGGTGGACTTAAAGTATTCCCAAAGCGCACCTAATAGTGTGACTGGAACATCCACTGTATTATGGAGTGGAACTGACTGGAAGTGTGCGGGAATAGCATCTTGGCAATGCTCACAACATTGTGAGAGCTGCACTGAGTCCCATCCGGTATGGGCATCTATTGCATAGGCTGTCCCATTGATTGTACAGTCAAAAAATTGCCACACATGATCTCACATATGCCAGTCAGGTCAGGGTACATTAAATGTACAGTAAAGGGACCTGTCTTATGGATTGAATAATTCCTATAAACATATAGAAATAAACATCCAATCAGGGGAAGTAAACCCCAATCAGGATGTATAAAATAAGGCAGACAGTATCTTGGCTCGAATGGCAAAATGAAGAAGGTGAAAATAAAGTGGCCGTTCATGTTCATATAAAAAGTGTCATATTTACATATCTACAAATTTACAAATAGTATGGTAGGAAGCTTAGAAAGGAAGAGTTCCTCAGTGTTGTTTAAGTCCCCTTAAAGGACATTATGAATGCTTTCCTATGTGACCGGCTGAATGCGCGCGCAGCTCTTGCCGCGCGTGCGCATTCAGCCGCATGGGAGGAGAAGAGGAGGATCGGAGGATGAGAGCTCCCCGCCCAGCGCTGGAGAAAGGTAAGTTTTTACCCCT